TGGCAATTGCAATCAATATCATGAAACAAAATGTGTATGAAATGTTGAATGGGAAACCAATTTGCTCCGTAAACCTTCACCCAAGTCACAATAAAAAGTTGTTTTTATGGGTAAACAAAATTGAGACAGAATAAAAGTTAGTATCCTATTTTTACATCCTAAATACTGCTAGTATTTAATGAAGCAGGATTAAAAATCAGCATAAACTATTTCTTAATAGAAATCTTTTCTCATCCAAAAGTCCTCTTATAAGGAAGAAATGTTCATGCTAAAATATATCCATAAATCTCTGGGAAGAAAACATTCTTAAAAGCACTATTTCCCTGATATGAAAACCAAAATGCATTATATTCATTACTTCCTCTCTTTGAGGGGAAGACACTTCTTTAAAATGCAATTGTTTCCAAGGAACTCATATACATTTAATTTACATCCTTACATTCAGCGGCAAGTACAACCAAATCTCTTTCAAAAAACGTATTCAAATAACATGCATTTTAAAATGTGTAGGTAATCTCAATATAATTTTTATTCAAACGGTAAACATACTGATTTGCACTTATGTACAAAATATAATTTTCTGAAACTCCCTTGGTTTCAATTGTATGAAGAACTCATAAAGGGAAATGTAAGTCCAATGGAGCTTTAATGTCCTCATATTTAATCGTCTATAGAGCAGAATTTCATAAGAAATATATATAACACAAATTTACAGTGCAAGTACACTTAAATCAACTCAACACATCAAAGACTGTGAAACAAAACGAAATATATCATGTATTTTATTATATACAGCAGAGTCAAGGGCATCAGCAAGCTGACCTGATAATCCAATCAACTGTTTAGAAGAAATGTTATGTCTACAAAAGAGCATTAGACAAGCTGCACGCTGGACCTATTTAGCATCACAGATATACTTAGCAGAAAGCTACCCAAGTATTGCTGTCACTTAGGCACTTCTAGAGAAAGAGCTATCATATTGATAGGTTTGACTTTAAAAAAGAGGCTTATTTATTCATTTAACGAGAGATTATAAATAATGATTTCACTAACAGATTCAGAACAGTTTACAAGTTTGTGTACGTAATACCAACCTTTGTATTTATACAGCTGAGTTGGAATTCAATGGGAATCCGAACACCCAAGAGTTTTCAGGCAAGTCTTGAAAGATTTTCTTTGGGCAATAATAATTGGAAAGATCTTATTTCTTTTTTCTAGAAGAACTCTTGTTTTTGAGCATGTGAATGACAAATCACAGCATAACAGAACAGAGTTCTACTATATTTGTTTCAACAGAACTAGCCATTAATCATCCAGGGAGATACCTTTCTTTTCAAAATATGTCATCCAATGAATATAGCTGATAACCCACAATATAGTATACTAGGGGCTAGAATGATTTGCAAAAGAAGATAGCCCTTATCCTTAAAATGACTTCTTATTCTAAAGAGGAGGGAAGTCCTCTCATATGTATATGCAAATATAGTAACATTTACATATGCACATGTACAACATATACATGTTTATACACACATAAGAATGTCTGATACCTATCCATGAAGTCTGTTAAACTCAATCTATCATAGGCTGTGTTTCCCTCCTGCACATTACTAAGGATATGTATGTTCCTCACTTAGTGCCATAATTTGATTATAATTCTCTTTTTAAAACTCTTATGATTGTAGGGTGATGGGGTATTAATTTGGTTCTAAAATGAAAAAATAAATCTAAACCTAAATACCAATTGTAAAGGAGAAAAATAACCTAAAGCCAGCCGTAAAACTAAACCACACAAAAGAGCTTCAGTGGGAGTTGTTGTTGTTGTTGTAAGGTGCCATCGAGTCCGCCCCAACTCATAGCGACCCCTCCTTGGATTTCTGAGGCAGTATCACTTCGGAAGTAGATTCCCCAACCTTCCTTCCGAGGAGTGGCTGGTGGGTTTGAACCACTAGCCTTCTGGTTAGCAGTCAAGTGCTTTAGGCACTACACTACCAGAGCTCCACATGTTCATTTTAAAGAAAGAAACAATATCCTTCTAAAGATGAATTGTCATAAATGAGAAGCTGGGAAATATTTACTAAATAATGACATTCCCTAACAACCCAATTTATTGTCAAGTGCGTTAAGAAAATATTAATCCAAACAAAAATCGATATACAACATAATTTACTTGCATAAGCACACACAACACACACTCCCAAAGGAGAATATACCATATCTAAGATCAAATACTTAATGAAGCCACTGCACAGACACCTTTATACAAATGTACTTACCAATACAGTGTACTTGCTTTATAAAAAGAATTGTTATGAGAAAAATTACTTTTAGATGTAGGATTTTTCACGACAGTATTTGTGTTTACCATTACAAGTGAGGGGGGTGAGTTATTACTTTTTGCCCTGATCAATTACCTATTGTTAAAATATAACGCATGGATGGGTGAAGTTTTTCCACCCAAGCTTAACTAAGTCACATACGTGCTGTGATAGATACCCACAAACTTCTTTAGTCAGCAAAAACTCCATACTATATCAGATTTATTATTAAAACTCAAAATTTACCTCTGGGCATTACAACAAAGACATTTTGAAACACTACAGTTCTCTTCTTGAACTCAAAAGTAAGAAATATCTCTTGCAGATAGGCCAAGCTTCACTTAATTTTCACATGTGGAATTAATGTAAAATATTCTTGAATTTGGACTTAATTTTTAGTTTGTACTACTTCAGTTACATGTCTTATATGTCAACTAAGTATTTAAAGCAAATCTCTTTTGAATTACAGCAGACATACAAGTGCCTTTCCCTTATCCAGAGTCTCAGATTTTATGGACATGCTTTCATACTTTTGCCTTCACGTACTGAAGATATAGTCTTAAAATCTCTCCACAAATGAAGTTTGCTTATTCCCTTTATACTTTCCTAGTACATAAAATCAACACATTAAAATTAGTGCTTAACACTAGTATTGTAGAGGTTTACTTTTACGGATTGTTTTGAGGAAGATATTATAAGAATTATCATACATTATTTATAACTATAAATGCTTAGTAGTTATTGTCCATTTTAAATACCTGGAAAATACTTTAGGGATGGTCAAATAGTCTTCATCCAGAGTATTCACTTGACACTCTTCCTCTTGCCTCCTGGCCCTAAACCTAAATTATTCTTTTCCTTGAACTGAAGTAGTTTATTTTCTTGAACTATCTGTGTTCTCGTTATTTCCCTCCTATCTTCCTTAGTCATTTTCTGCTCTTCCTTTCACGAAACTCCTGTACACACTATGGGTTTTTTGGTAATACTTATGTTGATTTTCTGATCATCTGCCTTGTTTTCCCCAACAGACTTGCTCATTTTTTGAAAGAAGAAGCTAGGATCTTTATTTAACCATATTAAAAAAAACAAACCAAACTCACTGCCGTCAAGTCGGATCCGACTCACAGCGACCCCTCCTTGGGTTTCCGAGACGGTATCACTAAGGAAGTAGATTACCCAATCTTCCTTCCGAGAAGTGGCTGGTGGGTTATAACCGCCAGCCTTCTGCTTAGCAGTCAAATGCCTTAGGCTCTAAACCACCAGAGCTTATAGCCTTATAAATAAATAAATAGATAGATAGATAGATAGATAGATAGATAGATAGATAAAATAGACTAACATATCATTATACCTATATATATAGTTTTGACTCAGCAACCTTATATTGCTGGAACTTCAATATTTTTTGCCATAATGTTATTTTTTCTTTTGTTGGTGAGTTAAAGGCCTTTTATCAAAACTTAGAAAATACAATAGCTAGAGATGTTGGTTTTAAATTGACATGTGATATTTTAAGCCAAGCAGTACTAGACAAGGTATTCAAATTAACTAAGAAAAGAGTCACTGGATTTGCCTTCTATTAAACAACATATATAGTCGTTGTGTTGAGTTTTCCCCTCACAAAGGATATACATACTCACATAAGTCACACATTTCCCCACCTTAAAAGAAAGAACTCTGCATCATCATGTGTGCTCTACCTATTTAAAGAAACTGATTAAAAACAAGAAAGAGCTGAACGACCAGTCCTAATCTAATAGCCATTTTGTAAGGAATATAAATTCTTCATCATAAATAATTCTTAACTAATTCTTAGACTCTGTTATATGGATACACCTGAAATACTCTAACCAACTTTAATTACTTAGGATGGCAGTTTTATTAGACATCTTGATGGAAGGATAGAAAGGAGCATTTCATTTATGAAAACAGCAATGACTTTTGAGGCAGAGAAATAGCTCAAGAGATGCATGAAGAACTGTGGAAGCACTGTCAAGATTGAGAATGAAAAAAATGTGGATAGAGTTAGGTGAAGGAAAATTCCATTATTGGAATTGATGGGACAAATCATTAATTCTATTGTCATAAAATAATTGCTCTTATCCCAACATCATTCCTTATATTTATACATACACACACACACACACACACAAATGTAGGTGCCACAACACATCACTTTTATAATATCATGATCACTTGAAAATCAGATAGATTATATTTTTCCAAACTTTATTATTGTTAATGATATGCAAGTTGGCCTTGGCAATTATCTAGGAGTGGGAAGTTTTTATTACTAATATTATTATATTAATTAAGAAAAGAAAAACCAAACCTGTTGCCATCAAGTCAATTCCAACTCTGAGTGATCCAATAGACAGAATAGAGCTGCCCCATAAGACTTCCAAGGTTGTAAATTTTTATGGGAGCAGATGGTCACATCTTCATCCTGCAGAGTGGCTGATGGGTCAAGCCACTTACCTTTCAATGAGCAGCTGAATGCTTAACCACTGTGCCATGACTCGACAGCAACAGCTTATTATATTAATTATTGCTCTCTTAACCACTTTTCCAAACTTGTGATAGCTTTGTATGAGCTAATAAGTGGTTGACTTTCAATTTCAATAGAAAATAATAATGAGGATACATTTTCAGCTTTTTCCTTTTTTACTTCATGTACCTTACCTGATTCTTGAGATCCAGTTTGGGACATGGACGACCTCCATTGTAAGGTTTTTCTTTTAGCCATTTGGATCGAATTTTCACTCCAATCCCACAAGATGAGCTGCAAGACCCCCAACTAGACCAATCACTTAACTTGCAATCAAATGGGCAGGGAATGACACATTCTTCTTGAATATAACCTGAAAGAAAAAGATTTAAGAGAAGAAAGTCTGATCAAAATAGACCAATCTAGTTCACTGTTTCTTTCATTTCATCTCAGATTTCTCAGCAGTTTTGCTGCAGCAACTTTAATAATAATTTTCTACTCAGATAAACAAACCAGAGTTTTAAGAGAGAGATAAATATGATTAAATCTGCCTATGAATGTCCATCATTCTGTTTATTTTCACAACTAATTCTGGGATGGAAGGAGCAGGAAAAAGTACACAGTTAGTCCTGGTTTCCAATAAGAAGGAATGATGCAGTTCAAGGCTAAAGATGATAACAGCTCCCCTCACTGAGCCTTGTGCCCCCATCTTACACTTCCACATGCAGGGAGTGAAAAAGGGCCAATGTTTCCTAGGTGATCTATCCATAAGACTTCACTAAGAAAGATTCTGATTCTCACTTTCAGGTAATGGGACTTGGGGTTGGGGAGGGGTAAGTAAGTGAACCACAGATGATCAAGAAGTGCAAGGTCTTACTGAAAGAAGGAAGTAAAGGAATAGTAAAGGATTTTATAATGGGATATTGGACAGGTAATAAAGAAATTTGAATTGAAGTATCACCCCAGTAGCTCTAGCTTTATTTGGTCTTATTCTTGTCTTCAGCCTACTTCTTGCCACACATTTTCTCTGGACTATCTCATAATTTCAACTATTGTCTTTATTCATCAGTACCAGGTTATCTCTTCAATACTGATCTCTATGATCTTATTAAGTACCATCAAGTCGGATTTCACTCAGCAAACCTACATACAATAGAATGAAACACTATCCAGTTTCATAATCATTGCTATGTTTGAGCCCATTGTTACAGCCACTGTGTCAATTCATCTTGTTGAGGGTCTTCCCCTTTTTCACTGACCTTCTACTTTATCAAGCATGATATCCTTCTCCAGGGACTAGTCTCTACTGATAACATGTCCAAAGCAAGGGAGACGAAGTCTCACTATCCTCCTTCTAAGGAGCATTCTGGCTGCACTTTATCTATGACAGATTTGTTTGTTCTTCTGGCAGCCCAGGCTTATATTTAATATTCTTTGACAACAGCATAATCCAAGGGTATCAATTTTCCAGTCTTCCTTAATCACTATACAGCTTTTCCACATATGAGACAATGGAAAATACCATGGCTTGGGTCAGACACATCTTAATCCTCAGAGTGACAGCTTTGCTTTTTAACATTTTAAAGAAGTCTCTTTCAGCAGATTTGCCAAATGCAATTTGTCATTTGATTTCTTGATTGCTGCTTCCATGGGCATTGATTGTGGATCCAAGTAAAAGGAATTGTGGTGGCTTGTGTGGTGCTGTTGTGTTAGAAACTATGCCACCGATATCTCAAATATCAGCAGGGTCACCCATGGTGAACAGGTTTCAGTGGAGTTTACGGACTAAGATGGACTAGGAAGAAGGACCGGACCTGTGGATCCACTTCTAAAAAAAATTGGCTGGTGAAGACCTTATGAATAGCAGCAGGATATTGTCTGATCTTTCTGCATCACGTACTAAAACATTTTAATCAATTACTACACATTTAACATATCTGAAATGAAGACCATCAATTTCTTCCTGAAATATTCTAAATATCTTGTATAACTTATCCTAATTAACTACCACAGCATCTGACTCCTATCCTGAGGAGTGCATGTCCTATAAAATTTTCTCCCCTTGAAGATGAGAAAGACCTGTGAATATGACAGGATGTCACTTCAATTATTAAGTTATGTTATATGGCAAAGCTGAAGGGAATATCCAGATGTTCTAGATATAATTAACATCTCAAATCAGTTAATTTCAAGTTCATCAAAAGGTAGATTATCTGGAGTAAGCCTGAGTTAATCAGGTTAATACTCTTAAAAGAGGGACTGAACAACTTTGTTGTTGTTAAGTGCCGTCGAGTCATTTCCGACTCAGTGACCCCATGCACAGCAGAACGAAACACTGCCCGATCCCGC